GTCTAGAAAATTGAAACTCTTGTGAAAACAGTAACTTCGCAAATATTATTGGCCAGCAGGCGAAGAGCAATATCAAGTTCGACAAAGGTGCAGGGCGTCGCGGAAGAATAATAAACCTTAGAAATCCGACGAAAGATAGGGAAATACGAAGGGTGCTATTGCTATTGCGCTTTTTCCTGTTCAAGCGGAAGATACGTGTCACCCTTATCGGCGGTTTGAATAAATTCCGAGGAACTCTCCTCAGAAGTTATTGCGTTTCAACGGAAGAGCACGGCGAACTCGTAAATGGAACAGGGTGGCGGGGACGACAGCATGTTGCCTGTTTGCAGATAAGGGCTGAACAGCGGCGAGACGACACGTCCACGATACCGCTTGTTTATTCCTCATCTTTTTAATAACAAGTCCGCGATAACAAATATATTTTCCCGTAACCGGTGAACCGACGCGACACGTCGGTTGTCGTCCGGTTCGTCAACATTTCTGGCTAAAACACTTCGTTCTTTTTTACGACGTTCCTCTGCAAATTCTTCCCTCGTGTTTTTACGATGTCCTTGGTGTTACCTCGACCCAAAAAATATATATATATATATATGTATGTATATGTACATATATAGGCGTATAAATATATACAAGTGCCATAGGAATATAAGATTTTCGCAGGTCTGTTACGTGAGCCGTTATATTCCGTTCCAAATAAACGACCAGAATAAAAAGGATTTTTTGGCTGACGCCGACCGAAAACGTAGATTTTTCTATGGAGTCGGGCGCACGGGCAACAATCCAGTATTTGCTTTCAGTGCCCGGTACAACGTGCTATCGATTCAACTCGAATCTCACGTGGTTTTTGGTCGGTCCTGAAATTGCCAATTCGAGTGGTTAGGAAAATATGTTGTTGCACTGTGTCGCGTTCGGCATAACGTGTCGCAAATAACATTCGATCTATAATTAAATTAAGTTCCTCGTAACTGATCGACGTCATGCGTTTCGGGAAACGATGCGGTACGGTTACAGATTAATTACGGTTAATAAACTAACGATCTGCGGACTATTCGATTGAAATTGCTTGCTTTCGCATCTCGTACATGTAATATTGCCGGTGTAATGTTTATATTAGAAGATGCAATTAATTAAGTGATTTGTTACAGCAATTAGTATCTTATATTAATTAGTACTTGAAGAAATATTATAATGTTTCAATGATTTTGGAATTTTATGTAAATGGTTCAGCTGCGAAGGTACAAGTGAAGAAAATATAATTGATTAGATCATTCATTTATATGTATTATTCTATAAGTATATTTTATTTATTTATATCTTTTTGGTTAGTTTATTTGTTATTCTGTAAGTAGCAGCTACTCTTAAGGAATTCACTATACAGGGTGATTGCCGTTCGAGGTTTGTGAAATTTTTATTTCTTTCAACAGCAGGAAATAAAGTGTGGTCATCATTTAAAATGCAGAGTAGGAAGGGAGCAGAGGTAGTCGGCAGCGTACACATGGGGATCATCTGTTCTGAATGTAATAGATTGTAGTAATAATTTATTGCAATAAATTCTTAGTAATACAAAGAAGGAAATATTATCTTGAACTCGAAAGATGTCTTTTAAGATGCGTCCGTGGCACCACCAGAAAGATCTTATAAAATTCTAGAAAATACCTCAGCGCAGAAATTTTAATACAATTTCGTCTCTTAAAATATACAGTATTAAAACTATACAATAAGAAAAAATATACAATATCTCCAAAAAGATTTTACCTAAAAACGCCAGAAATATTAATTCTACGCAATAATTAAATCTTCTATTCACACACTTATACCCCGCATTACCTTAATACCTCGAATTTTCTACAAATCTCCCTTTCGAATAATTCTTCTTCTGTTTTCTTGTGAAAATGCACTCCAAGAGAAGGCATAGAGGCAGCCGTAATGAGACTGGTAATTGTTGAAAAGATTCCGGATTTTTCGGTCCGAATTAATTTCAACGGAGAAATCCTCTCGTACACAGATGAGCTCTTCCTTCTAAAGAAAATTACAACCCGCGAACCGCGTGGGGGTAGTTGCAAAGACGAGCGGACGGTCGGAGATTCGACGGTAACGAAACTTTTCTCCCGAGTAGTCATCCACGCTCATTGTTCCATCCGCGTTCTGGCAGCCTGGAAGAATGGTACGGATGGTCGCGGTGGCTTGAAATTAAACATTTGGCGGGGGACAATGAACGACTCCCTTGGCACATGCGACGGGAACAATGCCTTGGCAATACTTGCGCCGCGGAAGACTAAATGGCCAAACCAGATACGGGGTGAAAGCAGCGACTCAAAGTTAATGCTACCGTGCACTTTCATATTTCTGGCAGCAAGAGGCTGTTTTGCGCTCGGCTTTTACACAGGTAAACGACCGTGTTCACGGCACCTTTTCACCTCAATCGCTTTGCCGCGAGTCCGTTATGTGTCGACGCACGCACCTAACGCTACAGGAGATCTGAATTTTTACCGATTCCAGACTTGAAAACATTATACACGAAGTCCCTGCGGCTTTTTATAAAAGTTTGTTCCATTTGTAACTGGGATGAATTAATTATTCAACAGTGCACTTTTTGCTTGACGCTGTTAGATGGGCAAACAGCAGATGTTTACTCAAACGAAACTTTAATAACGTTCCGTTCAAACACCATAGATTTATTCAAATTTGTTTCTACAGAACTTAATACACTTCTTTGAATGCGTAATTAACATTGTATACGAAAACAATGAAACTTGAAATATTTAACTTGAAGAATTAGTATAAGATTGAAACTTTAGATAATTTAGAAAAAGAAACAGGGTGTTTCGAAATAAAGAATCAAGGATTCACTCGAATTTAAATAAACTTCTGAATTAATTAACACTCTCCGTTGCATTCAACGAAGCCTTATCCGCAAGCCAGGCGTTCTCTTCCCTGATTTTTAGCTACGAAGCTTAATGAGGTATAGCTAACGTAAAGATTGGCTCGAGCATTACCGTCTAATCTCTGGTCGTCTTATCTAGCTTCGGTGAATTTTCGTCGGTCGCCGGCGAAAAAAGAAAAGAGTGACGGCACGCGGGAACGGCGGGAGGGGTGCGGGCACCGGGCAACCGAAATGGTGGCCAATTTGTAAGTGCGCAAGTTAACGAGCCCATTCACCGAAACGGCTATCCGTCTTTCTGGTAATGCAATCAGCACATTTCGCGCGTACTTTTGCATTCGTTTCTGCCGGCGCAAGCAGTCGAACGCCTCTGTCCCACTTAATTACCTGTAAAATTAACGGCGCGTCTCCAACGCTCGAGTCGATGTCAACCTAGCTCCCAGGCAGATAATTAACCATAATGTCGTTATGTATAGGTTGAACCGTGCTCCCATTGTTCCGTCGTTAACTATTTCATTTCCGTCAGTGCGGAGAACATCGACGGCTTGAATTGTTTGTGCAAGGTACACTAGGAACGCTCGTTGCCAATTACCAAATATAATGCGCGCCTGGTCTGGCCTTGCCTCATTAACCAAGCGACTTGTATATCGACGGGGTAATGGATTGATTTTCGGACCACCGTTAATTAAGAAAGGCAAGCCGTGTAACGCGCCGAAATTCAAATAACTTCTCACGATCGTTCTCTTCAGAAAACGGTACGATTCATTGCCACGAGATTTTCGGGCAACTCGGATGAAATTTTTGTTAACTGAAAGTTATATTTATGACAAATGAAAGCGGTCTGTGCCCGGTGGCTGCGGAAGTATTAAAAGCAAAGAGAGATTCTCGTATAGAAATTTCAGCTCGTCGCGCACACTAGGTTTCGCACGGATGATTGGGAAGAACGAATCGATATGGCCGAATGGTAAGTTTAATTAAACGGTAACATTTGTTTTACGGGGGTGGCACGTCAAACGTCTCGTTTAATTAAATATTGTTCGCATTAGCAAACATTAAATGTTCGTAATTTGCGCCCGTTTGATCATAAATATTCAAGGGAGTGTTGTCGTTATCTTGTTTCCGTTTACAAACAGTTTTACCGACAGATCCCATCGGATTTCAGAGTCTCGTACTTTTACCCTTATCGGTCAAGATCCACCCCTCGTGTTTATCGTTCATTTGATCTTAGTTCCTATGATAACATCGCGCTACCAGATCCATTAGCTTTCACGCCGAACACCCTTCACTCCGCGTTTTGATACAGACGACGCGTATTGCTTGTATCCGTTTGTAATGACCGTGTCCTCTAACATGAAACCGCGCGATTTTTATCCATCTCCATTGCAATTTGTTTAAAACGTCTGCTGTCTGTCATGCGTTACCCTCGATTGAAATTAATAGGGACAGAGGAATTTATTTTACGATCAACCAAATTGATCACGATGGCACTTGAAATTGTTATTATTTGAAAGCTGGTTTTAATTGAATTAAAAAACAATTTACTAGATTTTCTTACAAATAATTCTAGTTTACCGTTCGGGTAATTCGTATTTAGTTTTTATTTTTTAAATATTCTTTTTAAACCTAAATATTTATTTAAGTTCTCACTTTATAGCAACGGATTCGGGTATAATATTTTCTGTAAGCTTTCTGTGTATTATTGTTAACCTTATGAAAGGTAGAAGCAATTTATACGATATTTTCATTTTACTCGACTTATCTGTAGCTGCACGACCATATGGAACAAACTATATCAACATTCGATATTACTGGATCCAGCGTAGCCATGTTGTTTCAGTTTGAAGATGAAACATTTCCACTTGCTCGCAGGGAAATATCGAAAGGGAGACCTAACATTGTCGAACTCGTTTCTCACGTTCTCCAATAATGCTGGTACACGATTCTCGAATGTATCTGTGTACAAGGTATACACTTCAGCTCATAAGAATTGTATGCCAACCCTGTTCTTGCGTTGTTGACTCATTTCTAGGCATCGTTTGGGAAAGAAAGGAGCGTTCTACTTTTCGAGTGTTTATTGTTCCTCTGAAACTCAACATTATCAACATTACTCCTTACTAGACTGTAGATTTTTGTTTTCATATTCACGAATAGAAAGATTCAATCCTTTAGAACATTTCATTCCTCTTTATACCTTTATTTTATTGAAACTGGAAATCTCTTATTCACAAGACTTGACGGTTTCCGTACAAAACGAATTACACACTCATCTTCAATAACTAATTAACAATTATTAAGCTATATAACAATTTTATAACGTTCTAGACTTCCAAACTATTGTACACAACATTCACATGATTATTATCTAAATAAAAATTCAACCAGAACATATCGAACAACCTGTTTTATTCAAATTATTTAATTTATTCTATAACGTCATCCGGGCGATGGTCAGTGCCGAGAGGATGAATTATTTTAAACTCGCTAAAAAACTGAATCAGAATGAACGTGAAGTATAATGTATACAAAAGGAAACCGTACGATCTGCGAGCGATTGCGCCAGTAATATTTAAATAAATGATAGTTATTAATAACGAGAAGAGTAGGTAAGTGAAGCTTCCGGGCGCCATGTCGCTCATTCTCATGCGCGTGCGGTGATTTGGGTGCTTCATGGCGTCCTTTCCATAAGTTAAGCCTAATCCCAAAAGTGTATTAAACATCGGCCCGCCGAAACAAGCCGCGTATCCCATCCGTGGAAATCCCTGTTTAGCTATGGCGATGTTTGATATCATATCTGTAAGCAGATTTCGCCGGGTATTAATTGCTAGTTAACAGCCGAATGAAGCGTTGTTTAGACATCCGAGCGCTGATTGTGAGTTGCAATCCGCATGACTTCCTCTTTAAATATTTAATGCATCGACTGTTATAAAGCATTCTGCCTTCCGTTTGAATTGATCGCAGAGTTTAATGTAAACGATAATAGTATCGCGCTATACGACATAAAGAGAATAGGCCAATTAATATACAATCAATGAGAAATTCGATAATCGTTGCAATAATCTGGTGTAGTTCTTGATAGTAACATTTGGACTAGAGTCTATTGCTTTCGAATATATTCTACAATTAAAAATACAAAATAACGATTTAGGCCAAAATATTTTTGCATTCGTAAAATAATAAAATGGGAATTAATAATATTTTTCATAGCGTTCTTTAAATACTTATGTTATATACACATCTCGAATTTGATTTAATTTGAACGTTTGAATCGTTAAATGTTTTCTTTTAAATGAAACTCAATTCTTTATATAATATAACTACTTAAAACAGTATAATAAAACAGTATCGTGAGGAATATCGAACAACAATTGGCCGGTGATTTATAAGGAAATTAATAAAATTAAAAATGGAAAAATTAAAATCCAGGTGTAGATGTGTATTGTGACATTATCTAACCACTCACCGCCCACGCTGTTACCCCATGCAAGGAACGTGATACCGAGCATGGCGTCTGATATACTGAAAGCGTATCCGACGCATTGGAGGACTGCCATCACTTCCCCGGCAACCAAATAGACCGTCAGCATGGCGGCCAGAAATCCAAAAAATGCGAAAGCCTGCAATTAATTGGTCACTGACTGTTACGATCGCGGCACGGGTTACAGAAAATGGCAGTGGTCCGAAATAGTCGATGAGAATCGTGGTAGGGAACGAAAGTACGTACTCACATTGTGATACTTAGGTACGCGGTCCACGTTGGTTTTAAGGAATACAATTACACCAATTACCGTGCCGGTAACGAGGAATATCGGTAGGATTGGAACGGGGCCAATATGACCATGCCAGACTGCAAAAGAAGGGTGAAAATGAGACGACGCTTGAGTTGACTAATCGGGTCGTTTCAGCTCCGTATTTGTCCTATAATGGCGGACAAAGGGTAGTTTAAGCGTGATATTTTTCTGCCAGAGCCTATACAGTTTAATATCACTGGGCAAATTGCTATTCTTCTTACAACTGTGATTCAAACGAAATCTAAAGGAAAATTCTACATTTCCATATTTCTAGAAAATTTTCTTCCACTTTACCATAGAAAAATTGCGAACCTCTGTTCCGAATGAAAACAATTTAAACAATGTATTAGACACTTGAAAGTAATAGAGTAAAATAATATTAAAAAATAAAGCTAAAGAATACGAGCAAAGGATTCTGAAAGAAGTGTTTCTTGAAAATACTTTTATAATAAAATGAAAGAAAAGTGCTTCTAGCAAAGCGCTGAATATATTTTTCTTCTTGTTATGATTAAGTACGGTGGCCAATGGAACACGGACACTAGACGATTTGTTTCAAGTTCAGCTAAACACAGTCGATTTGTAAATTAAACAGAAAAAAGGGAACGCTGGGGCGGTCGTATTTCATCGCAGCTGAAAATATGTCTGGGAGAGCTTGAGCTTTTATTAGTGGCGGCAATTTATAACGGCAGTCGTAGAAGTCGCAACAATTAATACGACTAACCGTTTAATAGAAACAATGCCAACGTCGGTGTCACACACAGCTGGAAGCAATTTAGCAGCTTGGACCAGCCTTTCTTTGCGGCAGTCGTGTTCACAAGTGGGATAAATAATTGTAGCAGAAACATGGCAGGTGCGCGGGTAATTAAAATGAATTTGAAAATCAGGTTCGCATTTTTCCAGTCCTCTTCGCCTATCGGCGTGATATCGTAAAGGAACTCATTGTAAAGTCCCTCCGGCCTGCCAGTGTCTTCTTCCATTTCTGGCTGTTCATCTTCCGCTAACGATGATTTATGTAAGAACCCCTCTCTCTTCAATTCGGCGGCGATTGCAACGTCTGGCAAGAAAGACACGCTTGAAAATTATACAGTACTTGACAATTCTGGCATAAAATCATTAGCGGCTACCCCAATTAAAAATATAAAATGAATTTCCACTTATTAACCCTCTGCTTTTAGAATTTTTTCCGCGACGGCGCTCATCTGCTGTTAATAATTAGCTAGACGAAAAAAGAACTCTATTTCCATCACGAGCCTGCGTATATTTTTAAATATAAATACCGTCTCGTATGAAAAAATAATAATATCCATCTTTTTTAAATTAAAAACAGTGTTCGGTAAAAGTGGTACTAAAAAAGTAATAATGTTTTGGAATTCAAATAAGTATTAAAAAATAATAATATCCATTTTTTAAAATTAAAAACCCATTCAGTAAAAGTAACACTAAAAAGTTAAAAAAAAAGTTAAGCAAATAAATATTACTCAAAGGAAAGCTTACTCTACGAACATGATCAAACGAAGAAGGAACATTTGATTCGGAATAATATTGATAAACCATTTATAAGAGCAACTAATGAAAAACCGCGGTCAGAATCGATCTCGATAAAACGCAATTCAAAAGTAACTGCAGGAATTGCTGCCCGAAGCACCGTCCAGGGAGAGTGGCATTTTTCAAGAGCCCGGGAGCGTTCCTGAAGAGCCGAGTGAAAGATTCATGGGTACGAGGTGTTCAATTTTAATTTAATGAATTTTTGGAGAGTAGGTGATCAATCGTGGGAACGGGATTCGTACCGAGTTTAGCACGCAGACCGAATGCGCGTGGCCTCACGGGAATCCTAGGAATCGCGGCTACGTCCTTGTTCGCCAAGTAAGTGCGCAGGACGTCTGGATCCGATACACTTGGGATCCTGCCTGGAAAAGTACGTAAGGAAGTCTTCGCTGGCGAGAATCGATAGCTGCAGTGGCGCAGGCAAACTCTTTTGTCTTTGCCGGTTGTCGGGACGCACCGAAATATGTATGCACTCTTTTAGCCTTCCGGCGGACAGACAGCGTAATGATTGACCCCCGTTGCATACTAAGCACGTAAATTGACAAAAAAAAAGAAAGGAACGAGAAAGGAAAAAGGAAAAACGAGACGAAAAGGTAAAGAAAAAAAAAATTCGAACCGCGTTCTGCATGTCAAACAGCTCGAAGCTCGAAGCATTCGAACGTAAGTACTTTACTCTTTGTCGTTTTATCGGGACAAAGAGAGCTTCTGCCTCTAATGAACTGCAGTTACTGTTGGTTCAAGCTGCGCGAAAGGTTACGTTCTCCACGTTTGTATGTCTGAACGGTGAAACTGTAAATGGAGTTGTAAAGCGGGGCGAATGTCGCGCATCGACTTATTGCTTGCGCCGCTGACGTTTTATTTAACTACTAAACGGTGCTTAATACTGCGCGAGCTATCTGGAGTACACGTAGCTCTTATGCTCTCGCAATTTATACTCTATATCAAAAGGAAAGTTGAACATAGCATTCAATAAAGTTAACGTAGTCAAAATCGAATTATCAATTTCAAGGGGCAATTGAAAGTGACGTTGAAATTAGAAATTTGTACGTAAATGGAACTAACTTGTAATTATTGCAAGTGGAATTATTCAATGCGAGTATAATATTATTATTCGAATAAAATTTCAGTGCTGGAAGTTCTGCTGGGTTCCAGATTTTATTATTTAAGTGAAATATTCACTTTTACGATGGTTATTCTTAGAGTTATTCTCGACAGTTATTTTAGAGCTTCCAATGGCAGGCTGATCGATATTTCTGAATAGATACCGAATCAATGCTGCAAATAATTTTATTGTGAAGCACGGTGAATAGACCCCTCCAATGTTATCGCGTAACTTTTCGTCGGACAACACAGATTCTCTAATTAAACCATAACTATCCGGTTGCTGTTATTGTTCAGAATTTCTATGCCCTTCCGTATCCCCATTCCCAAGAATAATATTACACCGCAGTCGCATTAAGGGTCTCGCGATTAAATTAGGGGTAACGTTATTCTTTCAAATGGGTTTCCCCCGGTGGATTCGTATATAAAATATTTCATATCGCGCCAAAACACTGCAGAACTCTTTCTTCCAGTTAAGATTTGACTACGCCAATGGACGTGCCGTCGGATGCCCCGAAAACTCGTGGAAAACGAAACGCACTTTTCAGCTTTTCCTCCCTGGTGTCGTGTATCTGCATTAATACCACCAGCACAATGAAGATTACGTAGCATAAAACGAAGCCTGCAACAGAGACAAAAACTAAACTTTTGTTTTCCACGTCTTCTTCGAGTTTTATTGAAAAAATACGATGGAATTCAGGTATTATTGTTTCATATATATAATTTATATATGTTTTTTATACATTTCCATAAAATTCAGTGCAGTAAAACGTTTAATTAAAATGTTCATTTCGTTACGGACTTCACGAAACTTCTATAAAATAGAATACATTAATTTTGTTCAAAATTCTAACGATGAAAATTGTTATAACGAACACTGTTCTCTATCAATATTTCGTATACACGAAATTTATTAACGTCATGAGTATAATTCTTTATTAATTAATTAGCAAAAAAAGTACGAAGAAAGAACGTTCTCGCAGCGTGTATTACGAGTCTAGTATTCAATCGAAGATCAAACTCGTTAAGACCAATTAATACTGCTTCTTATCCTTTCGTCGGTCTGTAAAGCTATTGGTGGAGTACATAAAACGCGGTCTAGAATTCATACCGTTCAAATGAATGTTCATTCACAATGCAGCCGCATATCGCGCGCGAACAATTTCATTCGGTTCGCGTTCCTTTCCTCCGGAGCGGACCACTTGTGCGGAAGGGGAGGAACGTTTAATTGATCGCGGCTTTCGAACGGATTCTAATTGTTTCGCGGGACGCTTTAATTGTTTTCCTGCGGCCGATTTGAAATTTTCTTCTATCGATTCGATTCGGCTCAATGATAGCCTCGCCCTCCTTTTTCCTCCCCCAAATTTTTGTTCGCAGCCCCGAAACGAAAAAAAAAGTAAAATGGGAAAGCTTATACGATAGAAATTCGTCGGCGGCCAGATTGCGAGGAAACCAACGGCAGAAAGATCGCGGCTTCGCTTAATTAAATTCGCCCCGGAGTTATTGTTATTGCAGAATTAAACCGCGTACTTATACCTCCTCATGGAGGAAAGTTTTCATTTTGCGTGATGCGCAATGTATTCGATTCCTGTATATTATACTCTTTTTCAAACATTCCTCGAATTGTTCCGACCCAATCTAGAAACTCATCACCGGATATTATTTTTCACGAAGTAAATTTCATTTTCAGCCTGCAGTGTACAATGGAAAAGAAAACAAGAGCTGCATATTAATTGGAAGTTAACATGAAAATATTTGAAATAAATAGTGTTCAAAATATTCGAAATAAAAAAAAAGGAAAATCTTGATGTCTTGGATAATCCGTAATCGTGACAAATCACAATATATCGAATAATTTTTTATCAGCTGTATAATAAATGAAAAATTAGAAAGCGCTTCAAATGAAATTTGTAATTTCTAAGTACGAATTACTATTTTACGTTCATTAATATATTGTTGTAATTTTTGTGCGTACAGATATTTTTAGAGAATTTTAGAGAAACTTTATTTCCCCTTCACGAATTTCTAACTTGGACCAATTTGTTTTAGTTCTAAACCTGCTCCCCATCAGCAGCATGATTCTTAGCTTCATCAAATACCGAGTATCAAATGGGAAATTTCTAAGCTAACCCACTTTAGTCAGGTCCACAGAGACCTATGCATCCTGAGCCTTTAATCCTCGGATACCGGATGCTCCATTAGGATACTAAACGAACAGACGAAACGTGAACAGATATGAACGATGTTAGATTCTGTACCATTATACTTGATAAAATTGAAATAAATAAAAATAAACAAAACCAGAAAAATATGAAAATAATCCTGAGCATATCGAAGAATAACTTTTAAATTTAAATATCAACTTAATTCAAAAACACATCTCTCAATTTACTTCAAACCTAAATAATCTTTAACCCTTCACAAACAACTTCACTGCTACTGCCTCTACAGTTCCACTTCTTTCATTTAAACTTAATTATCATCTATTTTGTAGAATCAAACACAACCACGAAGACACAGAAATAAATCTAAACTATTAACCAATCATACCATCTGTAATGCAAAGAAAAAGCTTCGAAAGATTTGAAAGAAATCGATAATTTAGCATCACGAGGTGTAAACATCCCCTGCGAAGTTCTCAACTCCAACTTGCGCGAATTACTCCACTGTAAAAGCGTACATTTTCATAAAGATCCGTCCCTTTATTGCTTCCTCCAAGAACGCGCGCACGCGTGTATTCTTCCGAAGAATTCTTGCGAAGTATAAGACGCTCGAAGACCTACCACCCAGGTGGTAGATACTTCATTGTTTATGGTAAAAAGATAAGAACCGCATGCAGTGCGCGGTCGACCGTGCTGCAACAACCGTGCGAAAATGACCGAGCGTGTTCGGAGAGGGTTAAAAAGATCCTGTACGTACTAAAAGCTTCCCAGAGGTGGATAGTCTCGTCTCGCACGACGTAGCTGATCCAGCACACAGACAGCATGTAAAAGCAGGCGTCCCTCATGAGAGGCTTCAGGTGGACCCGAAAGGGCTTGACTACTGCGACTGAACCGGCGATGATCGCTGTGACGAACACGCCTGCGCCGATTAATTCCGTGAACATGATTATCCCTTCGTCGCTGCCCGATACGAGAGACGTAAAGATGTCAGGCGCACCGTTGCCGAATGCCAATATCGTCACCCCGGCTATATTCTCCGACAACCGCATTACAGTGGCTATCACCGCTAGTGACGGGCAAAAGCTGCACGAACGGAAAGAATGAAAACTGACGGGGCTCCTGTATAACTGACCTTTTAGTGTCACTATATTTCCAGGAAGATGTTACATTCGATATTAGGTGAGTCTGGTTTCGAAATTTGAATTTCAGTGTTTTCAGGTTTTTCTTTGTCGTCTCTTACATGAATATTGAGTTTGTTTTATTTGAAATTCGATTGATCCTTATGAAGTCTATGAGGAGTGTAATATGTATTTGGTTATTTAAGATAATTAATATTGATTATGAAATATTAACAAATTAATTTGGTTTTCAGTACTCAAAATGCAAGTTCGTAGTTATTAGATATAGAACGGTAGGAGTGGATGTATTAATTTATTAGGATCACTGTTACGATGACTTATAATGATCAGTCGAGCTTATGTCATAGGCCCAAGTCCAGAATTATAAAAAATTTAAAAAAGGGGAAGAAGAATTTGTCGTGATCTTAATTGTTCTTAAGAAGAACATCATAACGCGTGTGGAGAGTACATTTATACGATTTCCACGATGTTTACGGTTATCACTGCTTCATCCGCTGAATATCACCATTGAGACCGGTAACAGATTGCAAGTGCTTACGCTGCACTTAAATAATGTGCAGTCACGAGGACACGGCGGAACTGTGATATTATTATCGCCAACATCCTTGAGTTTTATTAGGGCTGCGAAACGTCTTTCCACCGCGTTGCGGACAAGAAACGTTTCTTTTTAATGGCAGGAATAAAGCTCCTTCGGCCGGCCGGATTAAAGTTGAATCGGTTTCCGCGTGAGGATACGTCGATTCTCACGCACGCGATGTGCCATTATTCACCCTTTACCGGACACAATGTGCCGTAAAAGACTTTACGCGGCCTGCGAACATTCACACTATCTTCTCCCTTTTTTTTATGGATACCATTAGGATTTGATTCGCGCAATAACCGTATTATTGAGAAACATCGGATTCCCTTTCGTGTATCTTGTGTTTAAATGATAGGGATATATGAATTGTTAAAAAATAGTTAAACATTGATATTTTGAGGTAGAATTATTTTATAATTGCATTATTGTATGTGGATGTAACGTAACGATAATTAATAGTGCATGAGACGTTAATTTAAGAATCGAGAACAATCCTTAAAAGTTTGGATCAACGTAGAACTTTAACGTCGTTATTATTATATTTAAATAGGAATCGTGAAAGAACTATTATTTATATTGATAATCTCAACAAGTATACAAACATTAATATTCCTGATATTAGATTTTTTATTAATATAATATATTTTGAGAAAGGTGAATCTCTATTTGTGATAGCTTTTAAGACTGTTATTTAGTTAAATGAAGACTTATTTGGCGAAAAATATTAGTTATATTTAAGTGCATATTTAATATTCGCTTTTTATTGTAGAAATAATTACTTACAAGTTGTCTGCTGTAGTCCCTAATATTAGGAACATATATAAAAGCCATAGAACCATGAGTATCAATCCGACAGCGAATAAACCAATATTCTCTGAGTCAAAATTGCAAAAAAGGAATTCCGTGTATTGAAATACGGAATCCGTGATGCAATCACGGGTTGTGCGCACCCATTGACAGCGTTCTCGGGCTGGTACTTGCCAAACGTACGAACAATCATCCTGCACCAATGCAAAATGCTAATTAGAGATTAATATTCTTTTAATGGATAATTATACTACCAAGTAAAATTAATTAGATATTTATTTAAGTTGTCAAACATCAAATTTTATTCAATTTTAATAATCTTCCAATTTTTATATGCATATTTATACGAACTTTCTATTTGATTTTCTGAAAATATAAAGAAGTAAAGAGTAAAATGAAAAATAATTTATATTCTAGTATTACAATGACTTCGATGTTAATGCCATCTTTCTAAATAAATAAGAAAACAGTATTCAACAAATTTATTTTACCTCACGTATCGGTAGATGTCCATGTCTTAAAAAATATTCTGACCACCCCGCACTCATATAGTCTATCCTTAATGCAAATATCAAGTTAATAACCTATTCATACGAAATTGAAAATTATTCACCAATTGTCGCACTGTCAATTATCTGAAACTGTACTTATCGAAATACAGAGAACTTCAAGCGGTCATTGAATTAATTGGTAGATTAAGATGTAATAACTGTACCCAATTGAAAGTTTTGTTTCAAACGTTTCGTGCAACAAATAAAACTGTCCTTAACAGTTGGAGGATTGCATATTATTTCTGTTAGCTTCGTTCTTTTTGTATTGAATCGCATTCAAAGTCGTAAAGGGGGGACACGATACGCCCCCTAATTTATAACTACGCCTTTATTCACCGAATGAGAGACGCGACCGGCTTTTCCGGCTTCCTGTTTTTGCTACACTGTGCCCGTGCATTCATAATAAAGTGCGGGTGATATAACGTTGGAATATGCAAAAGCTTCTTTCCCCCACGTAAGGCGACTAGTGTATATCTATATAATAGAATGACATTTTTCCCTTTTTTCGGTAGCCCAAGTGAATCTTGAAACTTTAATGCACTATTTCTAAGAAACGTAATTCAAACACATTCATCCAATTTTATTTCATTTATATTTGGTTAGAAAATTAAAAAGATTACTAAAGAATTATTAGCTATATTTCATTGCTGACAAAATTCATACAAGAGGGATTAAGGTAAGGGTAAAATATAATATTCAAACTTTATTTGAAATATTCGAAGGGCATTTATATTAAGTATAAATTTTATAAGTACATATTCTGATGTTAGTTTAAGGATGCAATTACATACAATATTAAATTTAAATGTTGAAGAGAGAGAGGGGGGGGGGAGAGAGAAAGAGAGAGATTATCTTGCATAAGCAGAAGTGTTCTTGGAAACTGCACGACCCTGACGTAAAATAACTAATCATAACAAGCAGGATAAACTTCGGTTAAGACACTCGACGTGACTGAACTGAAGTTACACGAAATCCAATCTCTACTATCTTAAAGTGAAATTCAAGTCCTATTTAAGTTGGCAAGAACGTTCCAAATGTCTCAAAACCGACATTTTATAAATATATTTAGTTTAAAAAGCAACAGAGTATCATTCTTGGAACACACGTATCATTAAATTATTACGAATACTGAAACAATCATTATTGTTTATAATAAACTTTTTGTTAAAAATGAAAATATTTCTTAGTCAAATTTCTTATGAACATTCATCGATGTGTATACCTTTCGTGAATAATTGCGCAACAATTTAAATAATTTGTATGCGATCCAAATGGTAATTAAAATTACAATGATTGCAATGCAAATAACGTCTAGCAACAGATATTGGTACCACGCTAGATTTACTACTTCAGTCTTCAAGGAATTCGGTCCGTGACGAAGTAAGTACTCTATCCAGTACACAGCTTCTTCTGTGGGGTGAATCAATCGATCTTTGAACTGTAACGAAGTTTTCCTCGCCACTTCTGCGTAGCTATGAATTGGAAAAAACAAGTCAGATTATTTAGAAGAAAAATATTTTCGAACTAGATCTTACAAGATAAACGATTCCTTAAATATCTAGGAGAAATAGACTTTGATTTCAGGATCATATTCATAGTTTCAGAATGACTTTACATACAGTTGATAAGATACATGAACACGGGAAGCATCGAGTTAATGGAATCTATTCAAAACTTATAGTTGGTTCAACGCAGTACGATTAAACTAACCAAGCAAGTGCCTTCAGTTCGAAGCAGTCTACACACAAGCCAGGCACGTGTAACGCGTGTCGTAATTTCATTACATAGGTACTCCGCCAGGAGTTTGAACGTACGGAGTAACGAAGATATTTTTGATGAACTTAATCAGATACGTGGAAACAAGGGAAAATTTCAATTGAAAATTGTTTCTATATTTATGACAGCGAAATTAATCATTCTTAAAGATAGTAAAGAAACTATACTTATAACCAGAAGTATTAAACAACAGTTGTGACAAGTTTTAAATGTTTTAGAAAAATTACGACAGATATTTCAATATTTGATTCGACTCTGATTTCAGTATCTCACGGTTTCAATGTGTGTAAAATAAAATACTTGAAATAGATTTTATTTAAAACGCAATGTAATACATACAAAAGTTAAACAACAGTTCAACAGGGAAATTTTGAAAAAAATAGGAAAGTACAACGGTTCGAGAAATATTTATTTTCTCTTTCAGTCGGAACTTCATTCGGTTTAATAATATCCGTGATATACTCGGCCCAGAAACTAGAAACTCGATAAAACTCGATAGCCGGAATTCGCGGTCTGCAGGAATGAAGATATTCTCACTTGGGGATAATTGTAATTGGTAACAATGATTTGTAACCGGATGAATGGTTAATGAGGGTAGTAACGAATGTACCACCAATTCAAAAGTCAACAATGGAATTTCGCACGCGCGTGCCGAACGCACTTATCGTCGTGCAATTGTCATTCGCTAACTGTGCGCCGACCATTTGATTGTAATGCAGCCATGTTTTTGCGGTGTTAATATTATCTAAACGGGCGAGAACATTTAATGAACGTTTGCGACACTCAATTAATGGACTACGTATATCATAACAATCGGAACATTATATTGTATTATTTATTATCATCAATTAAGCCAAAAGTCACTTTCAGAACGACCCATATAAATATTTTCTAAGCTATACCTTCTTGTATAGTAAAACGGAATATTTTTTAATCTACAGAACGATGCACTTATTAGCCAGATTTTCTATAGTAAATAACGAGTACATAGAAAATAAGACCGTGCTTATTATTTTAGTCTATTGTATCGTATACGATTAGGCTCGTATCAACTTTCCCTTGTGACGCTCAAAGATACGTAGCATTTCACTGAAAAAATTGAGTGTTGTTTCGTCGAATGTTCCCTCAGAAAAAATTATGCACATGGAAAATTTACATAGACTATTATGTCGGTTATAAAAGCCGAAGAAACTATTTTCTCTTTCATTTTTTCCGTACACTTGCCATTTACGAGAGGAACACCGGTTAGCAACTGCGTGAACAGCTTGCATAAAACTATGCACCATGCGAACGCGCCGCCGTAAAAAGCTTGTTCTTTTCTTTATTTCTGTAAATAACTCTTTCGTTCCAGTTTTTAATTTTCATTCAATTATTATCCAGACAAGAAATTTCCGTACGGATGAAGAGCGAAGGTTCTAATTACCTCTTGTTCGTGAGCAGCTCGTTCAAAGCGCTCGATATTGCCTCGTATGAGAGTTCACCGTAATTCAGCTGCAAAGCCAGACCTTTTTTCACAAAGTAGGCCATGTTCAAGTGGTGGTCGCCGAATAAGGGCATCCCAAGAATCGGAACCCCGCAATAAACCGCCTCTTGGGTCCCGAGCAGTCCACCGTGTGTGATAAACAGCCGCACATTCGGGTGACCTGGGGATATCCGTGTAATAAGTTTATGTGCCACCAACCATTTTCCTTACCTATTTACTTCGGCATACTTTCCTGGCGGTGACCGCGCACTGCCAATATATCACTGGATAGAGTAGCCTAGCTGAATTGATATAGAGGCAGGATAAAGGAATTTTCGATTGATAGAACCCTCCCAATAATAAATGTCAATTATTTAATTATAGACTATCCTGGGTTCGGATTCGATTAATTATTTATGAATTCCATACCTTTCTGGCTATCAACTGATCTATATTTTCAGTAAAATTGTATTTTCTGTATTTTAATTTAGCATTAAATCGTCAGGATCGAAATTTCTGTAGACTAGCTACCTGTTAAAAAGCAATCTCTGTGGACAACAGAATGTTTGAATATGAAATTGTAAATATTTGTAACCATTAGCCGTTTTGAAGGTACATAAATATTATTATGTATTTATTTGGACAATATTGTAAATACACACTGCGCGGTTTATGTTCTCGGGAAAAATAAATAATTTATATAAATCTGAGGTAATGTTATAGAATGTAATAGAATGGAAATTTCTATGTTTGAAATGTTGTCTATCCAACAGTACGCTTTAGATATGAATTATTGAGAGCGTTTATAGTACTAAGCAGTGATCGATTTGTCAAGGAACTGCAGATTCGTCAACAACAATTTAGTGCCGACTGTCGTCTGCAAATCAGTTACTTCGATTGCGATCGTTTGCATGCAAAGTGATCTGACTGCTAACAGCATACGAAATGAATCGTGCAGGTAACGTGCCAGTAAATTTGGACCCATTCCAAGATTTAACTCGAACCTAACCTCAATCTTGCCCATCCCTAATTCGCACATTATTCTCATCTCATAATTCGCGCTGCATTCACGGACCGCCTCCAAATTAAATGGTCACATTGCGTATAGAAACGTTCTTGTTCCGCTAAACATCGGAATCCTACTTCCAAAGCATTAAATATTTTTATAATTCATTTATCTCGGTGACCAAACGTTTACATCTATAAACGCTGGAATTCATTGCACGACATTAATGCGTTACAAGGCGTGAATAATCTCAACATATAATTTTTAACATGCTTTTACAAAATAGGATCAAGTTAACCAAGCAGGATAATTCGATATTTAATTACATTCTCTTCACAAAGTTATTGTTACTCTCTTCACGCGCGAAAGATAAAAGAGATCATATGAGAATTAGTTTTCTGTTTAACTTCTGCTTAAATTCATCGAGCGTTCATGTAATTCGACTGTTATCACAATACAAGCATGCCAAAGTAATTAGAGAAATTTAATTTTTTTATCGGTGGCAGTGTTTAATTGTCATTGAGCTATAATTTTCGATATTCCATTGTACATCATGTTACATTCCATTTTTCAGTCGATACGTAACAAAAACGAACACAAACACGGTTAAACACTCTTCGTAACCTGACACGACGAACGTTTAAAGTGCTACACCCGATGTGGACAAAAATCCCCGTAGCAAATTTCAATTAAATTATCCTACAGAATTTATAAGACACTTGCGGGAAATCATTTTCTGTTATTAATTTTCAACTCTGTTCATGAATTATTGATACGCGCGAAAGAGGAGAATAAATGCTTAATTGAATATCAAACGGAGATATTTATATAATACGCTTATTACTCGTTCATTGCGCGCTCATTATCGGGCAATTCAAATAAATATTGTTCCCAATTTAGACGGGATTGTGTTACGCGCTCAATCGCGAACCAATCAATTTCAGAGAAAGAAACCTACATATACGATTTAACTCGTTCGTGTCAATCCTTATTAATTATCGTCCGATTTATTGATTCGATTCGCGTTCCCCCGTAAAATTTTTATCGCGGTATAACCCGGAGATGTTCGTGAAGCGAGATAGTTTCGTCGGTCATTTCGTGATCAGCGTTTGATAATGTACGCCGGATAGTTGCAGTCGGATAGGGATGGAAGTAAAAAAGAATGTATACGTACACAGTATGGAGAGTTGGGGCGCCCATTCGATGCACTTAACGTTCTTGGGCAGCGTCGGCATTTTCTCTTTGGAGCACTTCCACAGTATTTGCTGCGGTAGTTGTTCGAATGCTTTGTAAAAGGCAGCGAGCACCCGTGCCGGCATGGTTGTCGAGTTCAGTAGCGATCCGAGGCTAAAATAAACAACGCCATCTTTTCCTTGGCCGTCCAGGTAATCTTTGAGATTTTTCGGCAACGGTTTCGGACCCGACGCTGGAATGTGCATACCACCTAGCTCTTTAAATGCAGGCGCTTGTACGCGAGGTGTGCTGACGGTCGGATGCCCGTTCGTCAGGATCAACGATATATTCGATCGCAAGCTATCGAAGTCCGGCAAATCTTCGCCGAGATACTTCTTCGCTATTTGATAGCTCGGTTGGTCGGAAAAGTACCTGCAACAGAATAATTGAAAACGTAATGGAGTTAAGGAAACAGTAATTTAATTTTAAGAGTTTCTTAGCGAGGATTTTTTTCTAATTGTTGTAATGTGTTTTTGTCATAAGAATGTATCAGGTTTAAAATTTTGTATATTTCGTTGTATAGTAATTTAAGTGAGAGTTCATTTATTATTGCAGTATTTGTGGTGAACAAAATTACTTGTACGCCACTGGATTTGTTATAATATGTTATTGTTACTATTATTACTTTTATTATCATCATTTACTTTTAACATGTAGATGTAAATATGGTTTTTGGCGGTTCGATGTACGTATCGGATATTATTGCTATAGTTATTATGAATGTTATTACATATACTGTTAATAAATATGCATTTTATAGAGAACAAAGATCGTATAATGGAGATATACAATTGAACGCTGTATCAAAACGAGACTAGATAGCAACGATTATTTATATATATTTATATTTATTTTTCCTGCACTTTTTCTATGATTTGAACGTATTATAACATACTTGTGAAGGACTTTGGTATACAAAAAATTCCACGAATTCTCCACTCTTTGGAAAATGTCCATTCGATCGGTGAAACTGCTGAAGAGATTCGGAATGTAGCTGGGTGTCTCGGGGTTCCCTATGACCCCATATGACCAAGGTAAAGCAACACAAGTTATCACTGACACCACGATAGGTATCTGCATTTTATGAGCAATACCCAGGAAACAATCAGTAGCAAACATCTCGACGATGAACACGTCAAACTTCTCTTTGGAATTGATAATCTTTTGCAGTTTGGGGTTCTGGAACAGCGGATCACATATCATGATACCGCAATGTTTGAAAAATTCCGGCAGCATCTCAATCCCGGGCTTTACAGTAAATCCGTCTAAGGACATAGTGCCGTCTAGACTAGGCAAGCTGGAGGACACGTCCACGTCCGTAAAATTCGACAGTGGTACTTTTTGAGGAAAATGCGTCACAGACACGACATCGTGACCCTTCTCGGCCAGTCTCTTCAGCAAAGGTTCGTACACAAAATAGTGACTCTTGGCTTGAAACGGGATCAATGCTAAAATTCGAGCACCTTTGGCGGTAACAATCACACAGCTGATCACCATAAATACGAATAAAAAATTCATCTTGAATTGCCCCGGAAACAAAGTTTACTCTTTGAACAGAACTCGTCGAGAGATGATCAGACGCGAAGATATCTTTGCAATGTTACGATGATAGTTGCTTTCAGAAAACTGAACGGTGATAGCGGAATGAATGATACGTCTAATCTGGTGATTACCACGTGGTAAATGAGAGATAAAAATATGACAGCGAATGACTTTTTTAATGAATGGTAGGTATTTCATATTCCGATAGTTTATGGTTTAAAAATCGGAGTACTTTTCTATTGACGTTTTTGCAATGAATAATTAAATTCTGGAATAAAAATTGATTTTTGATAGTATCTTTGAGAGATACAATTATTTTATGTAAAGAAATAGAAATGGATATTCTGCGATTTGTGGGCGATATTAATTAAAGTAGTCTGGTAATTGTCCTCAGACACCTGTTTATCAGAAAGATAAAATTTTTAAATAAAATTCATCTACCTTAATAAATAATATATCTTGTTCTAAGATTATGAAATCTCTATATACACCTTCACACAGCATTCAGCTGTAAGTTACGAAGGCTCCTTCTCGCGATGCTTATCATCGACAATGAGTAATCATTCTGTATATACAACAGTTTTAGAATTATCATGCGATATTACGAAATGAAGTTCACGAACGTGAGTAATGAAAATTCGTTTCTAAAATGTATCAGCGAAGCTTGACGAATTAATACGTAACCGCGATACTGATTAATTGCCTCTTTTTATAGGAGAATTTCCTAACGTATGTTGCAATCCCAAGTCTTTTTTCGAGGGCAAGATTACAGTGGTGCATTATTAAGAAATGCACCGGGGAAAAGAAAAAGCGTGGTAGAAGGTTAAAAGCAAACGAATGTAAGAAACCGACCGCTGGAAAGAATTCGAAAAAGAATCTTCGTTGTGAATAAAATCTGAGAGTCCTTCTAATGTCAGATTCCACTTAAAAATTATCGCCGATTAAATTGGTACATATTTCTTCGTCGCTTTGTTGCGCGATATTTAATGTATTAACTTATTTCGAGTTTTAATTCAATTACTTAATTAAATATTTTGCAATTAAGATATTATTCATCTGATGTTTATTACTCTTGAACTTTTTAAAGTAATTTACTTTCAAACAAAAATCTCGAGAGAATTCATTCCTTGCCTCTGTATATTCAAAAAGTATTTGTACATGGTTAATATTATCACAAGTGTCCTAAACAAATAAGCAGACGTTATAAACTTTGTCTTAACATCCGATTAGATAGGGAGCAAAAAGCTAAATGTCAGTGGTATTAATGAAGAGGGAACACAGGTATAAATTCACATATCTATCCATGAATCTTGTCTAAAATAATTCACTTGAATTTTCAAAGTTTCATTTGTATTTATATATTTCAAGCTCCAAGTATCTCCCATGAAATTAAGAAGAAATTACGATAGACGAATGTGGAAAGTATTATTTGAACTGCAAAGACAAGATCGAGGCTACCAAAACTGCAGGTAATTCGGCAGCGAGGAGAAGATAAAATGTAAATGCGGATCAGCACTGAAAGATACAATTTTCATTTCCCGAATCTTAAGTTATGAGGGTTGGATGTGTTTCTACAGCTGGAGAAAGGCTAAAGGGGATCCCACATTAACGACTCCAACTTTGTAAACCGATATAACTTGAGTTCCGCGTTCACTGCGGACGAATTTCATTCTCAAGATCCTTGGCTTTGTCTGCCCTCAGACTTCGAAATCACTTCACTCCAAGCCAACCTTTGGAAATTCTGTGGAATTGTTGGCGAATTTCATTCGGACTCCATCATTTCGGAATAGAACGCTTAATACGACGAAAAACCGCAGCGGTCTTGCCAATGTTTTGCTTGAAAATGTTTCAAATTTATTTTAAAGAGCTGCAGGAATATTTTCTGCGCGCGTCACTGTTTGAAAATCCCCTGACCCAAAAAAGCAATATGAAATTTCGGATAATGCTTTGCATAAATTTTAGGGGCACAAAACAGGTAGTCACTTGGAAGTTATACTTATTCCGAATAGATTTTGCACGAACGTTTGATCATTAACCGAATCTATTCTAGTAACAGCAAGCGTGCAATAGTATCTGTCACTTAAATTCGACTGTCAACGTAAATTTTGATCGCGAACGAAGTCATAAAACTTGCATGGTAACATAATTTCTATTTAAAGTGACAACTCAAGTCAGGTATTCAAATAAAGTTACTCGTATGATATTTCACGTCGTTTTCTTACATTCGTATGACTGAAATCAATTAAATCAAATTAATAGATTATCACCCTAATAGCACTTATTATAAATTTAATCTTGAAGACTGAATTCACCATTGAATCGTAAAAAACATCATTTGCCATTCTCCAAATACCAGCGCTATTAGAAAATATCACTAAGTTAACACCAATTTATCCCGTGAATAATTAACGCTTAATCAACAAAAGTAAAATAATCCAAGATCTATGAATTTCATCTAGAATTCACGAATTATTGAAACGCTATTAAAGTAATACATTTAGAATAATATCCACTGCAATTACATCTTCAAGGATAAATCAGCATAAAGAAGAATCAATTCCCGGAGTGATCGGGTTACCGTTTTGGATCGAACGTTTTCTATATGCCGCTAGGGACAGAGCATTCTCAACCGGGGCAACGATGATTTCGCATAATCGTATCAGGACATCTTATATAGAGGCGTATGCAAATGTATAATGTGGTTTCACGACCCACTTCCTTCGACGGTTGTGCCTTAAATCGGTCTACGAAATTAAATGGAACCGCCCTGGTAATTGCACCCTCTTATTCCGTGCTTTAATTAGTCGTCGACGATATCGCGAAAGTTTCCTGCAACGGTTGGCGCGAGAAACCCGGCCAGACAAGGAGCACAACATTCTTCTTACAAGCTAGCACTTGAAATTCAGATAAGAAAAGCTTCACCGTCATCTTCGCTGCTCGCCGCACCTTGCCCTACCTTTCGCTCTTTTTACCCCCGACCCTCGCTCGCTCGCCGCCTTTCCACTCTCGACCGTGTCCTCGTAACTGCCTCGCGTTGCTCTTTCGTCATTGTTTCAGCCCGCGCGGCGTGGCGGCGCCGTACTTACCTCGCGTTTTGCATTCTCGTGTCGGAGTGCCATTTGTGACCTTACATTTCCGAATGAAAGTTTTCTATATTTTTTAATACCAGCCACTGAGAAACACGCCACGAAAGTAACGGCGGGGGACCATGTCGTACACGAAATCAGTGACGTGTTACGGAACACTAGTATTTATAATACGTAGCTTTTGTTTGACGTGTAAGGTATCAGGCATTTATGGGCATTCATCGTATATGTTTATACATTTCTGTCGTATAAGTTTTCTTTCTCAATTTTAATGTTTGAGGCTTTCATTGCTGGTAGAGTCATTGATAAAGATCGGGTACCTTTTTATGAATGAAATTTATGGAAAATGAATGTTAACTTATTTATAGGGATTAATAAGTTTTTATTTAATAACAAAACAATGTGTCGATAGGTATATTTTTATTACTTGTTTTGTATACTACGTCGTATAAACACTTTCTATCAATTCACATTATATTGATATCGATTCCTTCATTTATTATTCAGGAACCTCGTGCTTAATGACTGCTGTGACGCAAAGCCGCAACAACGTGAGATTTCAGGTCGGTCTTTGACTGAGGGATTTTGGCCCGCTTTTCCAAAATTATGGGCGTTTGCCGCATACCCGCATCGCATACCTGCGCGTTCTATCCGGCAAGCCTTGAACCGAAGTTTCTAAAATTCAAGAAGCATCGCAGGAGATCCTTATTAGTGTTCGTATGCCTTCGCCTCTACACGTCAACTTAATATTTAATCCACTTTTTATATTGAATCCAATCAGGCCAACCATAAACACTACGTAGGTTATATTTAAATTGTGAAATAAATTGATTAAACTATTGCAAATAAGACGTTCCCTTTCTACAATTGTATATTTGATTTTGTATTAACATTAACGTTATAAAATGCAAATAAATCACTTTAATGGTCACATATTGTTTCAATTATAGTAAAATATATTTTTAATATTTACGTTTTATACATACTAAAATCAGCATTTAAGAGGTTGGTGTTTTACGATTACGATCGTGTCGAATGTTTGTTTGATTCTGACTTTGGTAGTGTCACAAATAGCATTAAACATATGTAGCATCTGGCGACTTTAAAATAATAGTTGAAAGAACGAAAGTGCATTTGTATTCATAAAACAGCATCGCGCGAATCTTTGAGGTGTCTCAAGTCAGAGGGCATGAGTTTCAAAAAGTGGAGCAAGGAATACGGAAGAATTTAATGTTTTCCGGGGAAGCGCAAAGGGCACGGACAAAAGTGTACGAGATAAAGTACTGTTAAATTACGGACATTCATGATTCTCTTTTGCATTTTAGTCCATTTGTCTTTTGGAAGCTTATCTTCGTTACATATTTGTTTGTTATATTCATTATAATATACTTAATGTATCTGCAATAATAATACATTCGAGTAAAAATAGTAACATCTTTATGTAACTAACAGAATTAAAGTATCAGTATTAAAGATATTAAAGTCAATCGTTATAATGTTGTTGTTTTAACATTGGTCGATCATAACAACTTGTTTATTGAAAATTACTTTGAAAACGGAAAATTGAAAAAAATATTCTTTAAGGAGTTCTTTCGGAACATTCGTTGGGAAACATGAAACAAAGAGGGACGTGAGTGAAAAGTAACTACTTATCAGAAAGTAGAAATTGAGAAAACAGTTTGTTTCTGTGAATATACATCTACTGGATAAAAGTTTCGTTATAAGGCTCACAAAAGACGCGACTGTGCGTAGAAAAATGAATCATTTGCATCTGACAAAAATATTTCCGTTCTTTTGTGCCCGTGGTTGTGGATATCCAAGACGTAAGTTCGCTAATATTTTATTTGCCAGAAAAGAGATATATCTTTCGTTTTCTTGTGCTTATGTAACACGGCAAGTTACAAAGGAAATATTTACCCTGCTCATTATAAAAGAAAGAGGTTCCGTCGACTGGACTAGGAAACTCTGGTAGCAGTAAACTGTCCTTCCGAAAAGTCAACTCGCTTTGAAAACGAGTGA